TACGCTTAACTAATTTCATGCGAAAGACGTTTTTAATCATTAAACAATTTATATTACTTTTTAAGAGCCTTATCAGAATTTTAATTATCCTTCCTCTGAAGAACAACATTGAGTCTCCGTCTTGCAATAACAGCGAATCAACGACTCGTGTTTAGCATTTTATTTTCATTTATTTATTTATTAATTCATTTATTTATCTTTTTATTTTCCTTTGTTTTTAGTTGAGCATGAAAAGTTAATATTACGAAACGCCCCGTTTCATTTTTTCGTCTTGTTTTGCAGCCTCCCCATCGTAGCTTCCTGCACCACGTTTAGGTGTGTATGTGAACATGTTCCTCACTCACAACCCACGCGCGTCGCCGAGCGCTGCCCGGCCGCGCGATGCAAAGCTCGTCTCGGTCAGCCGCGCGCGTCGCGCGGCCGTGGCTCGACTTCCCGCCCATTTAAGTCGGTTTTCCGGCTGAACGATCAAAGATACGACCAAACGGACCAAATTTTTGTCTTATAGGCGTTAATTCGTCAATTTCACTTAGGATTGACTATCCACTCTACCAGAAATAAACATTTTCGACTGACGCCCTTTAGGGCCCTTGAGAGAGTCCTAAAAATTTTTTTAAAATTTTTTCCAAAAAACATTCTTTATTTGTACACCTCATAGCACGTTTTGAGACCTGGGGAGCTTAACTTTTCTCAAATTTCAAAAATAAGGGACACCCTACCCCTCGCGCTTGTGTTCGATCATTGGTGCTGATGTCACTGGCGCTTTATTATTTTCATTCACTCTAACGGCTGGAGAACTAGCGAGCACACCCCATATTTCTCACCTGCTTATAAATCTGTTTGATAGAAATACGTCCAATTATGAGAAAGAAATGTAACTTTTGGCACATAACTGAACTGAACTAATCTACTATGTGAAGGTTAAACGCTTTCTGAGCATTTGAATGTTGCCTAATTTCCTCTCAGAAAATATTTATTTTTGAAAAAAGTTATGAGTATGTTTCCTTGAAATTTTCAGGCACTTCAGGTACATCCAATACTGAAAAAAATTATCTGAAAATCGGTAGAAAATAATGATCAAATCTCAAAATTTGTGATTTGTCCAAAGAGATTGGCAATGTCTGAAGACTCATGCAGTGTTCCTCCTGAGCATGGCATCACCGTCAACTTAATTCTCACAATAAACTGATTTAGTGGCTACATCATAGTTTTGTATCGCAGTTTCAATGGTTTGAATGCAAACAAACAGATAACCCTGTTGCATTCTTGCCATGGTTTTAAAATGCTCCCAGATGTTTTTTGCAATCAAAATTTCTCCTGTGTAAGGAGTTATTAATAAATTTCTGACGTTTTAATGACAAAATTGAGATGAATTTATGCAATTAACTTACATATAATGGGGACATGATGTTATGTTTAGTTATTTTGGTTTGATACATGATAAAGCATTTATGCAGTATATAGCAATTACTATAACTCGGTTTTTCGAATATTGCAGGAATGATGTAGCCACTAGGTCAGTCTATAGAACAGAGCGTTCTGTCACATAAACTCAAATTTTGATTTTTCGACCCTGCTTTTCAAAAATACCTTTTCTGAATAATTTGCCACTGTGTATACAAGACCTCTTTCTATGAACAGTCAAGTATTAATGAAAAGTTTTCAAAACAAAATAAAAGCATCAATAAGAAAAGCATTACAAAATTTTTCATAACAAGGAATAATGAAATCATTTGTTTTCCTGCATTCGTCCTTCCTAATGTTTTAATTTTCTCTCAATTATTTGGTTTGGTTTCAGATGTCTGTGATGTACTACTAGTATCTAATGATTTTTTCATAATAGAAGATATGATGGCACTTCAATGTCAGTTGCCAGAGGTGTACAACCAAGTCAAGGATGTTACCCTTGAGTCATTAAGATTTATGCAAGGCGCGTTGTTCAAACCAAAAGAAGATTCAGCCTCCAAAGTTGATAAGAGCTCAGATCCATTCAGATTTCTTCCAGCGCTCAATGATCCGCTTATTTTCAATGGCAGTGACAAAAATTCGAAGAGTCTGAAAAGTACATCTGATCAAAAAGTCAATGCTGCTCAGCCTCGTTCCGTGGAATCCAAGAAAGAGGATGAAACAGTTATTTTTGACTCCAACTGTAACAAAAACAAGAATCTGTCAGCAAACGAAAAAGCCACTTCAAAATCGGAACAGGCTGAAGCCTCCAAACAAGATAATAACAGTAGTGTGCTGCTCAAAACGCTTAACAAAATAGCGGACCGTGTGAAACCCTCAGAGACTGTCGCAAGCAAAAATTCATCACGAGTAAAATTGGTACTTGACAAAATTCACGATGTGAAAGCATCTAAAGTCCAGAAAGGAAACCCTGTCACAGCTGTGGAAAATAAAGTAGTGGACACAAACGTTCCAAAGCTATCTAAGTCAGATCCTCTACAAGCATTGTCATCTAATTTAATCGAGTTGGTTTCTGAGAGCTTCCAAAAAGTTTCAACAGCGGCAAACAAACCTGTTGACTCCTCTGTCTCACATAATAATGTGGAATTAAAGCGTGAAACTGAGAGAGAGTGTACCATTAATTTAAATTCCTTAGAAGGAGATAATTTGTCACCCAAGGTAGACGAAAACGAAGAATTTTATGAATGTGAACCAAGTTTAAATAATCCTTTGCAAAATGAACTTGCCGGACGTAATATTGGGAGTGTCGGGGAGGATGAGGTGGCTCCCGAATGCAGCACCAATACATCGAATCAATCAAATAAGTTGGATCACACCAAAAAATTGACTGAGTTAGAATGTGAACCCATTGTCCTACCGAATAATCAAGTTCTAAGATTTTGCAATGGAACGTCCATCGGTGTGATATTGAAAGAGATGGAGAAAATTCAACGCTTCATGCATAATGATTATGAAACGAATGAAATTAACCTGCAAATGTTGAATGAGCTGGTCAACAACTTCTTGTCAAAATTCGTAGGTAACGAAATAGAGAAACTCAAGACTGAATCGGGTAGTAAAATCCTCTTCAAGAAAAAAGTCAAACTGTGCCTAAATATTAGCAAAAAAGTTAATCAGATCATCATGGAAAAGTGTATGGATATGATGGATACAATACATTCTTTCGGCGGTACTTTCATCAAGCGATACAGTGACTTGGCGGAAAATTTGGACAATCTTAGCTGTGATAACTATATGCCTTTGAAAACCATACTCAATTCAACCTGTAGCATTTTAGATACATCTGCAATAAGCGCAGGTAACAATCTTCTCATTGAATTGTACATAGTTCTGCCCCCCCCCCTCCCCCAAAGCATGTACATCGAATTCGAAGGCTCGAACCAAATTGCGTCTTCTGACGCATTCTTACTTTTTCCGAAAATCGCATGCTCTCTCATTGGAAATCTTAATTGCTCTCCCTAAAGTATAAATGGCTCCTTAAAGTGAATTTTTACTGTTGATTGGACAAATCGTCTAAATCTGATCCATGGAATCTGCACTTTCTTGTTAGACCGATCTTAGTTTTCAAAGCTCACCAAACCCACAGTTGGGCGTATTTCTGCCAAACAGAACTATGTGCATTACGACGGGAGCCCTGTTATGCATATATTCTTATGGGTCTCCTGGCTCATGTTTTAATGCACATAGTTTCCTTTGGCAGAAGTACTTCCAGTTGGTGTTCACAGGGGTCATCGTTGGGATTCAACCTCCATGTTGTGAAATACTAAGGAATTTGGGAGGAAGCTCTGTCACTGGTCCGTTCTGATGGATGTGCTTATCACCCCACTAATGGCATTGACGACCGCAATTTCATCAGATTCAGAACAATTAATATGATTAGATGGGTAAATTCGCTTTTAAAAAGAGGCTCACAAGGATTATGGCTTGTATAATTTCGGAGTGAACTGAAAAAACCGATTCCGAGGTGAAAGAAACAAGATTGTCCCCTATCTTATCTTAGAACTCAGAATTGTACCAAGTTGTAAAAGAATTTGTGATCTACAAAATGTATTGTTCCTTACAAAACAACCTGATGTATTCATGAGAAGTTGATAAGACAGGAAAATTTAGAAAAGTCAGTTATTTTTACCCAACTGAAGGATGACGGAAAATTTTGAGATCAGACGTAGAATTCTTCTACTGTGTTCAAACTTAAGACTGGCTTTAACCATATGCATGACTTTTGCTCTCCTCAGAAAACTAAGTTTCTGTTAATAAAGTTCGTTTCTATGAGCATATTGATGGTGAAACTTCCAAATCTTGTATCTCAGTTTGCAATGTTGCACACTCCCTGTCACACTTAGTTTTTTAAATGGAAAACTACTCAGCATCAAACCTTAAAAACTTCTATGTTTTTTCCTCTCCATGCAAAGCAAATTCTGAGAAAACTTCAAGGAACAATGTTGATATTTTCTCTTTTAAAAAGATAATTCAGGAGCAGAGATTTTCAAACATATTGCAAACTAGATTCGTGGATTGGGCGTTTCACCGTCAACAGGAGCTAATGTAATTGAAAACTGTTCACTTCTGAAATCTGAGATTGTTTATTCATTTTTTTCAGGTGATTTTTTTTTCAAGAAGCCAAAATCTATTGAATCTTCCCATGTAGGTTGTCAAACCAGTACCTCAGACTTCCTTGATTCTGAAGTGCAAACAGACAGTCCTTCTCTCCAACCTGCTGAAACTGAATCAGGAGAAACAAAACTCCTGTTCGATCACGTCAGAACTCAAAACGATATGATTCTCAAGTTTTGTAATGATTACTCCTCTCTAATGCCTCCGGTAAGTTTTACATGAAAAATTTCTTGTTTCATTCCAATCCAGGTGCCGGCAAAAGGTAGAGATCCTCAACTATCATTCGTTTAAATTTGCTAACATGCTGCTCTTCTATAATACCTTTGCCACTTTGTAAACTAATTTTTCTTTTTAAATTGTTCCTGGATTGAAGAGATGTTTGCTGTAGAAAATTTGAAAACCATCAGAGCTCTCAGTGTTTAGATTAGAAAGCCTGGAATCAAGAAGGTTTTTAATATTTTTTCTAGACTTTAAAAGTAATTGAAAAACTAATTAAATGAGTTAATGAATTTTTCTTACAGATAATCTCTGAAAATTGTGAAGAAATGGTTGTTGGAAACAACAGTTTTGAAAGAAACTCAAAAGATCAAGGAAGTTTGTTAGCCCTCAATGCCGTATTGATAAAATCTGTGTTCACTGCATTTGAAGTCAATTCCCAAAAGTTCAAAACCACGGTAGATAGTATGTTAGAAGACTTGCAAACAAACCAGATGGATTTTATTTTCAATCTGTAAGTACCTTTATTTTTTACTGTATGGAATTGTACGCAAATTATTTTGTATTCAACTTTATGTATGTTTATATTCTGGGTGAATTATTATTATTATTTTTGTGTGTGTGTGATAGGAGAGTTCAGGTGATTTTTTCAGGGCTCTTGACATGGTCGAACTGCGACAAATCATATTGATTATGTAAGAATTCTCTGCAGATTTTGACTCTTCAGCTGTGAAAGGGCAATAGCCCTCGCGCATGAGGCTGATTAATCATTCTCTATAAAAAATTCGCAAAATTTGGTGGAATGAAAGCGGGATTTATGTCAATGAAGTCAAGGAGGCAGCATGGTCGGTGCAGGAACCAGCAAGAGCAGGGTGTTGTGGTCGCATTGACAAGTTGGGAATCGGTGACAACTGAGCCAACCGGTGGCTGATGTGCAGCGGGCAATACAGGGAGCGCGGTAGCGCGAGGTCTGATTGGGTGCACATTCCAGGCGCGAAAGCTCAGTGAGATTTTGCGCTGCAGGCTCCCTCTCTTTAGACGGTCGCATTTTAAGGGATTGGTAACAGAAATGCTTGATCGAGACAAATTTTGTTTGGAGTAAATGTGTAAAAATGTTTTAGAAAAATGGTTTCGTGTGTCACTTTTTGACAATCAAAGAGCAACCAATGAGAGTTTAATGAGGAAAAGCGAGGTTTGAAACCTCATTACAATCGGAAATAATTGCTCAAGTTACATTCAATTTGTTTTGCAGATTTATTAGAGGTAACGTTAATACAAAAGGTAGCCTCTAATGCTTATTAAACCGTTAATTTCTTGTCAGGTCACTGCTTTAAGTTTGGTCAGTTTCTAAGATTTGTGTTGTCAACTTTTTGCAGCTTACGCAGTCGATACAAAGAGAAAGTTGCAGATTATGAAGCATTTTTGAAAAAGTTTTGCACTAACTCTTCAAGGAACTTGGATTGTTGGGCTGAAATACAAGATAACATTGAACATTGTAGGAAAATGTTGCATCAACTCGACTACAAGGAAAATGTTTTCAAGGTAATAATCCCTTATGGGTTAGTTCCATCAGTCACAAAATCGTATTTTAATGGTTTAAGCTTATGGATCAGCATTATTAAATAACAATTGTCCAAGTGCCAAATCTCTTCATCCAATTTTAATAGAGATGTCTTTCATCGACAAACACCGCGTCTGATGTCATCCACAGTTGTAATGAATATCATGATTTCTTCCAGCTTAGCTTCATCCGTGTTTTACATTTAGCAACTATTGACAAAACTGATCGATAAGACTAAGGTGGAACAAACCGTAATATGCACCACCGCACTGGATGACATTATACACCTATTTTTTTTTATGAACAATATCTCCATTATTATTTGACGTAGAAGTCCGGCGTTTGGACAGATCTCAATATTTGCTGCCAATCTCTACTCTTTTCGTGTGTTGTACTTGCACCTACCAATGATATATTTTTTTCTGTCCTCAGATGCAGAAAATAGGAAATAAATAACTACATATTTATGCCTTCTCTATATCAAAAATGTAAAAAAAAAAAGAAAGTAAAATGTAAAAGTAAAAAAGTATGTAAAATTTAAGTCAATAGTTGGGTCCTTTTTTTTCTTCATTTTTTTCTTTTCTCTTTTGATTGTGTCATTTGAAAGTATAAAGTCAACTTAGCTTAACAAGAAGAAAAAAAAAAAACCTTAAAACTGTCGCCACAATACTTTAATTAACAGGATGAAAGAATAATGCTAAGTCCACACTATTCTTCAGGGAAATCAAAGCCAGACTTCTGAATTTAATTGTAATTTTTGGGCTTTGATTTCTTCGCAGACAAGTGTGAACCCAGCACTATTTTTCCATCCTGTTACTTCGAGTATTCGGGCCACATTTTTGCTGTTTGTTTTTGTTAACCAAGTTAAATTTACACTCTCGAATTATACAACTTAAAAAAAAAAAAAAAACAATGACTCAACTGACCCGTTTTACTAGACCCCTCTCTATAGAGAAATGTGTTTGATAGGTAAACAAAATTTGCTTTAATCCTAAACGATTTCTGTATGGTGTTCCTCTGCTCGTGCTGGCAGATTATTGAAATTTTGTGTTTGTAGGGCGGACATAGAGGACATAGGTTAAATGGTGTAGCATCATTGATTGGCTATGTCTTATCGCAGCTCTGTCGTGCTCTTGCCTGGTAGAATGGACGACATACTGTCGGAAACTCAAAAGGTGCCTTTAGCTTGTCATGAATTCCACCTGACATAGGCATGACAAAGGAGGGATAAGACATAGCTGACCAATCTTACTACGCCATTTAACCTATGTCATCTATGTCTGCCCGACAAACGCAAAATTTTAATAATCTGCCTGCTGTTTGGTAATGTGGTAGAGCTTCTTTAACTGCCATTTTCAATTTTTTTCCCCCTGACTGTACTTTGTGCACTGAGTACATCAATTTGTATTAGCTCTGTATGATGGCTTTTAGGACTATTCAAATGCATCCGAAGTTACTCATCTTAGGAAAATTAAGTATTAAAGCTAGGTGCGGGAGGCTAAAAAATTATCGTAAGGCAATGACTTAAAACTTCTCGGTTTGGAACATTGTGCACCTCTTGTCATACTTCATTTTTTTAATTGACAGCCACTCAAGGTCAATTTTAAAGAACTTTCGTTATTTTTCTTCTCTATGGGTAGGAAATTCTGAAAAAACTTAGAAGAATGATGTCAATTTGTTCTCCTTAACAAAAATTTAATAGAAGCAGAGATTTTTAAACACCACTAAGAAAATACGTGGTTTAAGAAGTTCACCCATAGGAAGTGCAGTAGACATATTGTCCAGTCTTTCTCTTCGGATTAATGTTTGTTATTTTGTTTCAATTACAGCTGAAGCTTGCCAAACTCAAGTCTCAGTTGTTAGAATCAGGTGCAGTCAGTGTCGAAGATGTGAGAGACTTGCTGGCGTTGGATTTCGAGCCAGACCCAGAGTTAAATTTGAAAGTTTCAACCATACACCAAGTTTTCGTAAGTCTGTTGAAAGCAGCTGCAAACGAATTCCAGAGGCAAAATCATAAGTTCCTCCTGAAAGTTTTACTTCAAGCGAGAGATGCCAACCTTTCTCTGTCGGATCTAACCACTCAGATTTTAGCACAACAGCGGAATCAAAATCGGAGTGATCCGCGAAGTGATCAATCAACGTGCTCTACTGAATCTGGTATGTATTTACAACCTTCCGCAGACAAAAAAACTTATTGGATCTGCAGCAAACTTTTGCCAGAGTGAAATGAAAAGTTGTTTTTCCTCAGGGTTGCCACAGTCAGGGGGAAATCAGAAAATGTTAGAGAATTTCAAAAATTCTGGTAAAACCTGGAAATGTCAGGAAAAATGACGAAAGTGTCAGGAGAAAATTGTCAAGTCGCTGTCATTTTCTTCGCAGAATGAATTAGACGTTTCAAACAACAAGTTTTGTCTAAAAACTATTTCAAATTATGTCTTGTTAACCATCCAGCATATCTTCAATTGTAAGGAAATTTTACCAAAACTTGTCAAGGAAATAATTTTCTAAATTCTTTGGGAACCCTGTTTTTTATGCAAACTCTTTTTGAATCGTTTTTTGCAAAACCATCTGCTGTACAGTACAGTGTATCAGAATTAGCATGGATCAATTTAATCATAACATCTAAGATGAAGTTGGGCCGAGACATTAAAATTTAAAATCAAATTTGTCGAGTTTGTCTGCTAGAACCTAACAGCAATATTGTCAGGCTAAACAAACCACAGCACTTGTAGAAAATGTAATGGAAGTTTAACGTTTTTGCAGAAATTGATTGAATTGGAGCTTGGATCAAATTATTGAAATTTCCTGCACCAGTTGAGATCAGTTAATATCATTAGTGAAGCTTAATTTTTCTACCGTTTTGTCTTTGAATACTAAACTTTATGTCTCACCTTTACTGGAGCCTCCACTGCATTTTTAAACACATTATCAGTTGGACAGCTTAAGCTTTGAACATATATTATTAGTAGCATAGTGATATGAGTAAGATATTATTCTAATGACGTTTACATTTTATTCTTATTACAGATAGAGAGAATACAGGAGCCTCCTCCGATGGCAAGATCAGTACTAGACACTCCCGCTCAAATTCTGTGGTTTCTCAATGTAAGTGTTTTCTAAAGTCAATAAAATGGTGTCTGATTAGCTCAGCCAAGTTAAAGTTTAACTTTTTCCTAAAATTTTTACCAATCATATTGGATGTATACAATTTTATTATTTTTTATTTTGAAAGTACGTAAGATTTTTCAGTAATCCTTGCTAATATGCTTCAATAAAACAAAAAAATGAAGTGGAAAAAAGGAAGAAAAAAGATTTTGCCCTTGGATGCATCTTGCTAAGGCTATCTCAATAGCACAGCCCCAAACTCATCATCAGTATCTACAAAATAGAAGACACTTTGAGTGAAAAGAGACAAAACCAATAAAATCATTTAAAATGAAGAAAGATTATTACTACCTATCAAGAAAAATTCTGCCGGAACTAAACATTTTTTATGCATATATATTATTTTATGATTTCAGCTGAAGGAGAAGTATCTGAAAGGGAAGAGAACAGTCAAAATTTCACTACTTCGAAGAAAAGTGATGAAAACTTTAGGCAAGCTGTTCAAGGCCAAGTTCATGAGCCAAGAACTCCCGTGGTATCCTGTGGTAGTAGTTCACAAAATGCTCAACCAAAATTATCAAATTCTGAAATCTCTCATGGTGCAATAAGTTCAGGGAAGGTTAGTGGTGACACAATCCCAGAGTCAAAAATCAAAACGCCGGTAAGCACCGTACAAACCAATATCAGTAGCCACCCGAGTGCCTCTGGCAACACAACACTCTCTCGATGTGATGCGAATGAACACCTGATTGCCAAAACTGAGTCAGAAAAAACTGGCAGTGCTTCATCTTCCGAGACGCTGAAGAAAGCTTCTATCCAACACGTAGGAGATTATTCCCTTACCCAAGTAAATGATGCTTTAACTGTTGCAGAAATTAATAGTGTAGACCCTTCAACTCCAGCAAAACTTGATAGGAAACTTCTGGAAGATACTGTGAAGCAAACTCTTATCGAAACCTTGAGTGAAAAACTAGTCACCAATCCTACCTCTCTCTTACCTCAAAGCATTGCCTCTGTTTCTGATTTAGAAATAAGCCACAAAAGTTCATCAAACAATGTTTCAAAGGTACCATCTGAAACTCCGAATGCACAGCCTTCAATTCTTGAAGATAAAAAAGCCTTCGAAGAAGCCATGCGACAAATTGCTAAGCGCCTTGTCGAAAATGTGCCTGAAAAAAGTAGTGGAAAGCCACCAGTTAATCATGTAAATCAAAATTCACCACCAGCCTCCAGCAAACCACCATCTTTTCTGCCTCCATCGGACAGTGCGAAGAACTCAAAGCCCCAATCTGAAACAAGGAATGCACTGCCTCCATGCATACCGAGTTTAAGCAAGATTGCTATTGAAAACTCTGTACAAAATACTAGAAAACGGGGAGCTGAAAAATTGCTGGAAGTATTTGAAACCAAACTGAAGAGCAACCCTGCAGATTTAAATCCTCCTCCATTACCGAGCAAAACACCATCTTCTGAGTATCACTCCAGTTCTTCAAGTATAAATAAGTTGGGTCAATGCGCACCTCCTTATCAGTTTGCGCCTCAATTTGCACCTCCCAATCAGTTTGCGCCTCAATTTGCACCTCCCAATCAGTTTGCGCCTCAATTTGCACCTCCCAATCAGTTTGCACCTCAATTTGCACCTCCCAATCAGTTTGTGCCTCAATTCGCACCCCCTTCAATACCTTCGAATCAAAAAGATTTTGTTCCTCCTGTACAACGACATGCAAATGTGATTCCCGCTGATCAATGTACTTTTGTATCAAAACCCACAACATCAGCGCAGAAAGTGCCACCTGTTGGGAAGGCTCCCCCGCATCAAACTCCTGTCAAACTGCCAACCTTCCCAGCAGAGAATGCCCATCCTTCAACAAACCCAGTGCCAATGACACAACAAAAATGTGTGAGTAGTTCTGCAGTTAAGTCAAATGGAACTGTGAAGTCCTCCGTGAATGCTGCTTCGCAGAATGTTTCACAGACAGCAAGCAAGGCAAACCAACCGAAGAAGAAAACAGACACTAATTTACAACCACCTGGACCATCACGAGTTGAATCAAAGCTTTTGTAAGTGTATTTTATGTGAATTATTTTCTTTTATGTAGAATTTGCTTAAAAAAGATTCCCAAATTTTATGATCGTAATTTTGACTCCTAGTAGGAGAAAGGAACCTGGTGCTGAAAAAGTCAAATTGTGATGACTGGAACTATTGCATGGACGAATATTTTTCAAACATTTTGGCATGAATAAAGACTAAAAACGGTGCAACGATCCGACATCATGCCAATTCAAATTTGCAGATCAAAGGATAGTTTTGAAAGAAAGTGATTTAAATTCTGTATTTGCTGTATTTCGGGTTTGAACTTGTCGGATTAAAATGCAGATTTACACCCATTATTGAAAACACACAATTAATTACCCTCCTATGATTCTGGCAACTTACTCCCTTGGATATTGTGTCATCTCTTTCACTTGGGAACGCATCCCAATTGCACTACTTCAGTATTTATTATTAACATTTTTATTTCTGTGGGAAAATGGTCACATTAATTTGTCTTGACATTTTTTGTTACACAGATTCTAAGATTCTCTGACAAATGCTTGCGATAGTTCTCCCATAAAAACATGAAATACTCACAAAAATACTGAAACAAAGCAGTCAAAGTGCTACAACTAGGGTGTTTTATGTCAAAAACTCAAGTATCAATTTTTCCATCCTACTTGTAAAAATAACTGCTGAAAAATTTCCCATGGTTAAATCGGTCAAATTTGCAGTCAGTCAAATTTGAATAAAAATACACAACTTTATATCTGAAAAATTTATTTTTAAAGTAACAAATTTAGGAAAATCTATTGCTTTGCTTTTATGTATATTTGATTCTTGTGATATTTCTTTCATTTTCATTGAAATCACTGAATGATTTTGTCTTTTTTGGCTGCAGGTCCTCACTGAAAGACGGATGTTTCAAGAAATTAATGTTGAGTTTAAAACAGAAGTACCCCAAGAAATCTGATGTTGAATTAATTCTTTATTTGAAAAGTGCCAGAGAAATGAACGGAGAACAATTGACTGGAATGTCTTTCAATGAAATCATAGCACTTGTCGATTCTATGATAGAGACGCCCAATTTCAAGTTTCCAAAACTTTCGGGAAGCGGTTCTAATGGTGCTAAGCCAAGTAAGTTTTTTTAAAAAGTATTTTACTCTTAGGAGCAGGGCATGCTTGTTCAGTTAGGACTTTGAAACTTGTAAGTATGCGAGACTTATGAATCATATTGACAGATCTGTCTCTTGAATTTGTGAGAATATGAAAGGTTTTGAAAAAAGATTCAAGCGCAATGAATCTGTTGAACGCAAGAGATGAAGCCAAATGAATAGATTTTCTCAACGTAATGTCACTTGAAAATCGCACATTAAAATCGTTAGAAATTCACTCCGTAGCACACAATCTATGTAGTTAGCAACACGTTTTTCAATTTTACCACATCTGCGGGCAGTTATTCTTCATCGACGGCAGTCAGGTTTACTGAGAAAGAGATGCAAAAAATCCAATCTAAATAAACAAATAATTTTGCAAAATTTTGAAAACTTCCCTTACGTAAGATTTCAATTGACTTAAAGCTTTTGTTGCTGCAAAAGAAAGGAAGAAAAAGCAGAAAAACGCTTGAAAACGAGTGAAATCATATCCGAGGAACATTTTGCGGAATCGTTTGTTTATTCAGGTAAGGTTTCTGTACTCCTCTGTTAATGTAAACCTGGTTAACAGTGACTGAGAAAAACTGCCTGTAGATGCACGGAACTGGAAAAAGCTTGTTACAAAATAAACAGATTGTTCGCTGAGGATTGGATTTCAGATTTGTTTGATGAGCCCATCATAATTCTTAAGAGATTTGACCTCTAGATAGTCTTTTTACCTGCATTTAACAGACCTATAGTTTTGGACAGGATGATGAATAGGGGTACATGCACAATTAGTAGAGTAATGTGCCCTGCGAGAGATAATTAAATCAAAATGATTGCAAAAACCATCCAAAGACTAGTTGAAAACCTGAAATATAGTTGTTAACTCTGTTGCAGAGACTTCCTCGACCCTCATATTTAGATTCAAAGCTGTATCCATTGGATTAAGTTAATTAGCGTTGTAACTCTCAACATTTTTTTCTTTGCTGCCTTTTTTTTTCCAAGTAGTCCTAAATTCATGACAGCATTTAAGCATCGAATTCTGCAAAAACCAGCCTGCCAACTTAAAAAAATCTAATTGATCCCATCCCCAGATAAGTTCTTTCTCGAATCTGCCATTGCAGGTAGACTCCTATTGCGTAAGGTGAACCTTCAGTTTTGTCACAATTCATTTGGGGTATGATCGACATGTTTCAAATCTTAATTACTATGTGGTTTTATATGGGAAAACCGACATTTCAGTCGTTAAATCAATAAAAAATGTTTGTACCGAAAATCATTCTCCAAAATTTTAAATTTAAGTTGGATAGGTTGCAAAATGCTCCAATTTGCAACCAATTTCAGTGTATCATTATTGATGATTAACTGGAAGTAGTATTTTTCATGGTATCCTTAGATTTTGGAAAATGAACGATAGATCAAGAGACTAAAATTTCGATTTCCCCCAAAATGACTCATCAAACGGCTTTGCAAACTGAGAAAAATTCTGCCTATTTTGAAATCCTCTCTTATTTGAATTTAATGTTTGATCAATGGACATTTGTTTCAGGTACTTCTGTGATGGGTTTAGAGAAGTTCGGTCAATCAGCCTGGGTAAAAAAGGAAGAAAGATTATCAAATTATTCAAATGAGGATTTAAAAGAGTGCGTTGTTTGCTGCTGTAAAATGGCAAGGAACACAACGACCACTTTGACTTGCAAACATGTCTTCCATACTCATGTAAGTACTGAAAGTCTCTGATTTAAGTCATTGTCAAGATTTTTCAAAACTCCAAAAAAATTATCCAGTACAGTGAAGCCTGAGTCGTCCAATTATTTATTACAAAAACTGTTGCCAGTTTTAAAAAATGCTGTATCATGTGGTTAAAATGCACAAAGAAAATCAGCAATAATGAAAAAAGTGGCAATAAAGCAGGAAAAACCGTGGTAGGTACATGATTGCTGGAAAATCGAGTACAAGATACCTAACTGAATTGTACCATGATTAGAATTTTAGGCAGGCTTTTAAGAGTAATACATTTAAGTCTCATCAAATAGCAGGGGTGCAGAAAATTATTTGTTTTCACATAATATGAGGCTGCCTTCTTACTGCTGTCCACATGAGACTGCTCGCTTCACAATTTTCTTTGCATCAAAGAGCATATTTTTGCAGCTTCCTTTGCAGAGTTGAATGTGCTTAGCAGTTTCCTTCTCAAAAAATAGGGCTGCCTTCAAATTTTTTCCCAATCTTCGAATGCCCTTGCATTCTTCTCGCCACCGGTTAATGAGCTGGTCGAGCATTCTCTGCACCCCTTTCAAGTACAACCAAATCGACAGTGAGACTGCGAGAACGATTATCCCGGTTTGCAATGTTACTGACTTCCTACTTCACTGCATTTTCTAGACGGGAAAGTAATCAATGTTATCTCATTTCTTGAAAACTTTCAAAATTTTTCTTCTCTATTTGGAGAATAATCTAAGGAACTTTCAAGCAATAGTGTTGGTTTGCCTTATCTCAATGAAGTAAAATTGGAGTGGAGTTTTCGTAACACCTTAAACAAGATACATGTCCCTGCAATTTCACCTCCTAAATAATCCACCTCACACTGGAATACAGAGGAAAAAGAGTTTTTAATAGGCTCCCAGATGAACTAAAGAGTAAAATAAAAAACAACCAGCCTCATCAGCACTTCTTAAAAAACCTGGGAAACATCTTACGGAAAACCCATTTTATGCTACGAAGGAGATTTTAGAGTAAGATCTTAAGGAAAAACATTTCATTGTGTGTAAAATTTGTAACTATATCATGGAAAACTCTGTATGGAACATTTTAATATGTTCACAAATTCTGTTCAATTTGTAGTGATGTATAATAATGTACTGTAGCTATGTGTAAATAGCTGAAATGTACTTATACTGACGTGTATTTTAGTCCCTCAAAGAAGAGGCTCCATGTAAAAATTTAAAAAAAATGAAAATAAATGATAATTGTAACAAGAGATTTACCATGCTGCTTTGTTGCAAAAAGATAAGAATTTCTTTCTGTAATGAAATATTTTGGAAAGTCGTTGGACAATTTTTTATTTTTAAATTTTTGATTTTTCTTTTTTATATTGAAACTCATTTGGGCTAAAATAACTTTATCAAAACTAAATTTCCCAAGAAATCTTGAAGTGACAGTGCTTACTTTTCTGACGGCACAGTCAAGAAATGGGGTCTAATATATGTACATTTCAGCATCATAAGCCCATATTGTAAAATACTAAACTATTTTGTTTGTTCTTCTTACAGTGCATACGCGAGTGGTTAAGAATTAAATGTGTCTGCCCCTTGTGTCAAGCTGTTTGTTTAATGCCAGACGAATACCCAAGTTTAAGATAAATCTCCAAGACTGCCGTCTCTTCAAATTCATCGATATTATCCCAGTGTCATTTTTAGATGTTTTGTTACTTGTTGAGAATTCTTATTTTTTTACCAGTTTCTCTAATTATTTTTTTGGTAAGACTCGAGATTTGTAAATTTATCTCTGATTTTTCGTATGCAGGGATTAATTTTCTAGTTTTAGTTTTTATTTCTGTACAGATTTTTTTTTGTACTTTTATAAAGTTGCTCGTTATTTCTAAGGAAACAATTTTTTGTAAGATCTTCTTATGTACCTCAGTTGCCTTTTTTATCCTTTTGTTACGGTAGTTTATTATTTTATAGTTAGCTTTACATCGTTTCTTCTTGATCTATTATGACTATTCTATTTTCATGGAGTTTCCATTGAATTAATTTGCTCAGTGGCCTCTATATTTTTGTTCCCGGTCTAAAATTAAGTCGGCATATCTGTATCGTAAGATTCGAATCTGTCCCTTTTGATTTAATGTACTTCAAAAATTTCTTCAACGGGTGGATCCCTTCTTTTCAATTATCGAGAAATATTTTGTCAAAGTTCGTCCTTGCTATAACCAAGTATGATCATCTCTTTTTAAGAAGTAAATCTTCATGCTCGTTTATAACTTAAGTATCTATCTCCTGTATTTTTTCGATTCGCTTCTTTTACCACAAAATTTTCACATTCACATATTCAGCTGGTTCTTAAAATTGCTTGGTTTTGATTCAACTAGTTTCGCATTTTCTGAAGAATCTCTTGATGTAACCAGTCAGTTTTCGTTGAGTTTTTCCTTCACTTGGAGTTATTTTCAAGCAGGAAAATGAAATATACTAGTAGAAACTGTGATCGTTTTTCATAACTCAATGTAAAACCACCTTAATTTCTAGCTTAATTGTCCATCCCTGCAAGGAGAAGATTTTTGCACAAAATGTACTATAACGGAGTGTAAATCTTCAGCTTTGCTAAATTCAAACCTAATGAGAATCATGTATGCCGTCTTGTAACGTCTTTTTCTGTGTATCGTGTATCTCATTGTGTAAAGTACTTAAAGCACAGAAATCCTTGTTTATTGAAGAGAAGATACTTCAGCTGGAGGACTAGTTTCAGTTACCCCTATTAAAAGTAGAACTTGTCATTAATTTATCCTAGTATATCTGTAAAAATGTAACCAAATTTTTGTATTATTTTTGAACGAAACGTTCTAATCGAGCTAGTCAATACTTTGACTCATCATCACAAACCCTCCACTAATAATTTGACCGTAAAAATCAGGGTATTACTGCAGATGATCAAATAACTTATTGCCTCATTATCAGGACAAATTATAACTAACTCTTCAATTTCTACAATTTTTCAAAGTAGCAGCTGTTGAATAACCTTAACTCAAGGATCCTCCCTCTTAAAAACCATCCTGATGACAGAGTTGAAAAACCGAGATAACCAGATCGGAAGGCCTCATAATTGGAGATGCCGTTCCTGACATTTGTTATGACAAAAAAAGCCGCAGGCAAAAAAATATCTTTACGATTAGGTAAGAATGGAAGCTTTTCATTCCATAGGTAGTGATTCATCGTTACCTGTTGAAATAGCCATGTTTTTTTTCTGATCCAGTTGTTTAAGTGCCTGCCATGTTCAAAAATTTCTCTGAATTTATGTCTGTGCCCAGTTACATTTTGCAGATGAATTAGGGTTAGTGATCATTTTTTTAATTGTTCCAGACCTGCATTTTTATTGTATTTTAATTAATTGGATACTTGTATAAAACCTCAACAATTATGGAAGCATAAATGTCTCAGTAAAGAAAGTTTCTACAGAAATTTATTCTCTTTGTTTTGAACACTTGACCCTATTTTTCCAACTCAACTCACAGGTGTTCAGCTTTTCATGTGGTATTCGTGACATCAAGCAAGACCGATAGAATCGAATGAAACCCAGGAGAAAATCTGTATCTTATGTCATATTCGAATTTTCTACCAACTTTTCTTGCAGTTTTGATAAAAGTCCAAGTATAATGCAGAATTCTTAGACCATCTTCTAAAGCATGTTACTTCACCTTGATAAGGCTGAATTTCACTAGAAGCTTTTGAATGCAGTCTTATAAATTTCTGTCACTAGTAAATAGGGATAAATGGTGTGCAGGGAAGAAATTCGCTGCCGTACGATCTGACTTTTCTTACTTACGATTAAGGGTGAAAATTTTTTCAAAGTTTGAATAAGTACCTACTTAAAGGAATGCTCCAAAAAATCCCACTACTTATTCTATTCTTTGATTGATTTCAGAGTGTTTCCAAAATTGCAACGTTTCCAAACTTCCTATTTTTTTTTTTTTTCTAACTATTCAAAAAACTCATATAATTTAATTCTTTAGTGAAGAATCTTCTATATGAGTGATACATTTTAAGTATAACCAAACTGTCTCTCAGTTCCTTTTTTACAAAAATAAAACAGTAGTGGAGATTCGTAACGTTACTTCCCATCGGTATATCGCCACCCTCCGCCCAAAATATCACAAGCGCCATGCGACGTTTAAAAATTTCCGCTGTTATTTTATTTCCTTACAGAGATATTTTTGGTTGAATCTGTTTGGAAATTTCACCGAATTTTGTCGGCAGCTCAAAGAAAATTCAGTGACATTTTTTGGACAGCTTCGTCGAACAATTTCTCTTCAAAAAAATATAATGGCGGCGGAAATTTTTAAACGTTGCATGNGGAATGCTCCAAAAAATCCCACTACTTATTCTATTCTTTGATTGATTTCAGAGTGTTTCCAAAATTGCAACGTTTCCAAACTTCCTATTTTTTTTTTTTTTCTAACTATTCAAAAAACTCATATAATTTAATTCTTTAGTGAAGAATCTTCTATATGAGTGATACATTTTAAGTATAACCAAACTGTCTCTCAGTTCCTTTTTTACAAAAATAAAACAGTAGTGGAGATTCGTAACGTTACTTCCCATCGGTATATCGCCACCCTCCGCCCAAAATATCACAAGCGCCATGCGACGTTTAAAAATTTCCGCTGTTATTTTATTTCCTTACAGAGATATTTTTGGTTGAATCTGTTTGAAAATTTCACCGAATTTCGTCGGCAGCTCAAAGAAAATTCAGTGAAATTTTTTGGACAGCTTCGTTGAACAATTTCTCTTCAAAAAAATATAATGGCGGCGGAAATTTTTAAACGTTGCATGGCGCTTGTGATATGTTGGCCGGATGGGGACGATTTGAGTTGTTGGTGGAGGGGGGGGGGTGTTGAAGCTTTTCAATAAGCTGTTAGCCCCAGTAATGATAACGGAGATGTAGAAATATCGAATCCTGCCGTAGGTCAGGGATGTCAATCATCCCTCTCAGTTCGCGCTCCCTAGGTGTAGGTAAGAAAGGGAGGAGAGGAAGAACACTTTACTTCCGATAGTAATTTGCCTCATTGTAAGTGCAGGCGCAGGGCTTATAAAAAATTGCGCCGGAACGATTATTATATCAGCAGCTATGATCTGCCTTTGAATGGGAGAATTCCGAGACCGCATCTGAAAATCATCACTGCAGAATTTGTAATCAGTGCTCAGTGCTACATACTTATTCTCTAGCGTTCTATCGATTTTCAAGCGACCACTCCAGCGCTTTTTAGTGGAGCGGGAAGTGTCGCGCTCTAGCGTCAGGACACGGTATCAACCGATGGCCAATCAGAAAATTCCAATAATCGTATCTTCACCTCCTTGAAGAAAGAGGTTCAGTCGTTCTTCCAGTAGTCTTCTCCTTGATCGTATCAGTTTGTCTGTGGTGGACGACTGTGACAAGTCGAGTCGGAAAGGGCTAACTCGGGCTGTCGAAAGTTCTAAAAGCTGTGTTATTGTTTTATTACTTCATGAGGTGCTCGTAACGTCCAGCAGTGATGAAATTGTTGTGTTGTGTTATTTTGACTGTGTTCGTCGTGACCAGCGCCAAGAGGCCAAGAAAATTCGAAGGGGACTTCGAATTCGCTGAAGAGGTATATGATAATGCTTGTCACTTATTGATTCACCTACACCTTTTCACTGGTTTATTCAGCAGTCGTTTACGCTGTGTGACACATTTTCAGTCTCTTGGTTTTCTGACTGCAACTCAGCCTCTGAGTCTTTAGTTTTATCAATATTCGTCTCATTATCACTTGGTTGGATTATTGTGTATGGGTCTTTATTTACAAAATAAAGGTTTATCACTCAGCATTTTAACTATGCAGCTCTCACTGCTCGCAACTTCCTCTGCCAGCGAACTTCCCATCTTCGGCTCTGATATTCACGACACCTATTTGCATTATGCAGCCTGACAATGAGTAAGATTGATTGGGATTTTCACAGATATTTTACTCTTCCAACGTGTGGATGAAATTTAGTTAAGACCTCATCATGGGGGCGGCCACAGTGATAGGTACTTAAATTACCTTCATAAACAACAGTGAGCAAGAAGTTTGATATTTTAAGAGGAGCCCAGAGCTGCCACCCTTCAAGCAAGTTTTTTTCTAGCAGACACAAGTTGTAAGTAGGTACAGTGGTACAGGGCAGTATATACTTATGTAGCCTCCGCAAGTACGCATTGCATAGTTCTAATTCTAATCCACAAGAATAGCAATGTGCAAGTAGACGCAGCGAGCATCAACTGAGGCTTGTTCTGTATTATTAACAAATCTCAATTTTTGGGTAGATTTGTATTAATTTTCTGAAAATATGACATAATAAAGCATATAAATACTTAAACTTGCGACTCATGGTCGGACACTGGAAACATATTAGGCTCCAACGCACCCCATCAACTTTGGAAAATCATTTTTCCGCCCCAAATTTTTTTCCATGGATAAACTTTGGCTTGTTTTAAAGGCTAGACAATTTTCCCTCTTTTAAAAGTATAGTTATGTTACCTTCTTTTTGGACCTTGTAACCCATAAAGCTTTAAATGTAAAAAATTTAAAAGTTGAGCGTTAATCTTGCAACAATGCATAAAAGTTTCGAAATGGACGTATTTCGTACACAGGTATTAGCTTTAGACTGATGGCTTCCTCTAAATTTTGAGACCAGCTAATCTCTCTACACCAATTTAAATCACACACGACATATGCCAGTTTAAATTTTGAGCCTTGACACCCCCCCCCCCCCCNAATCATCTGATTCGATAATTGTCAGTGTTTTGGACTACGCAAGTGATCCTCTATCACCCCTGAAAGCATGTCGAAGATCAGGCCGAGGTTGGAAATAGCCGATTTTGGATAAAAGACCCTCAAGTATATCCCAGAAAAGGAAAAATCAATCCCAGGACTTGTGCCAAAGTCAAATGGTGGCAGAAGTAATGATTTTAAAAAGTGAGCTTCGGCTTACTGTGCTACAAGGAGGATAAAAAGAAAGAGAGAAAGAAAGAAAAAAGAATCGTATTGCTACAACTGTTGCCGACGATTTGATCGATTATGAATAAAAAATCTTCCATAATAAATTCTCTTTCCATCCATCTTGTCATATAAATTAGCGTGCCGTCATCGATGCGAAGGCGAAATTCCGCGCATTTTTAGATTATTTTCGCCGCGAAATCCCTATTTTTTTGGTAATTTTACTCGGGTGATTCAAATCCAATCCCTTCGTCCTCCTTGTTTTCCCTGGTCCCTTAGAACCCTGGATGAGCCCCGCTCGCATTGCAGAGCGGTACGAGCCTTTTTAATTATCGACAAATCACGACGAGTCGGATATAGGTACGATCATAAATAAACAGATATTTCATACATATACAAAAAATACAAGAAGGACCAACTACCAAAACAGCGGGAAACAATGCTAAAATCGCATTCAATAATCGGAGGACGTCTCAGCCGGTGACTATCAGGGTATCTATCAGTCCCCAAATGTCCCCTATTATCCCCGATTTTGGAAGGGTGTCCCCGATATCCCCATGACTTGTATAATTACTTAGTCGTATAAAATACGCCGTTTAACGCTGTAACTAAGTATCTCCCTTTCTCTTACTATATCGGGAAAAAAATTCCCCGATTTTCTTGAAAAAATGCCATTGAAAGTCCCCAATTTTGGTTTTTTTTAAAAATTATTTAGTAGACACCCTGCTTTGTTAGAGAGACGCACATTTTTACTGGTTACTCAACGTGAAACTCGGAGGAGAGCGAGGTGGAAGGAACCAAGGGTGTCACTACCGCGGCGAATGCCGTCATACAGCGAATTTTTCAAAGCGCGATGTCTCGGTGAAAATCGAACGGAGAGAGTTGTTGTTTGGCAAATTTTATTATTCCTAGCTGATCTACGAGACTCGAGCATGAAAACACGATTTTAAGACCAGCGCAACTGACCCATCGGATATTTTTCATCTCCGAGTTTCGCACAACAATATTTCTCAGGCTTCCGAACAGCATCGGAACACGTGAAAAAGTTTCTGGCGCGGAGAAGTATCTATTTTATCCGAGGAAAGCCATGAAGAACATTCACGAGCGCAGAATGGAGTCAAGTTTGCAGACGCGAGGCGCGCGGCGCGGCGGTGGGGGTGGAACCCTGGAACCGAGATTAGCTTCGAAATGTTCGACTTCAATTTTCCTGCTGACACAGCGCCGAGTTAACAAATGGGATAACATAAAAACGAAGGCTTTGTGCGCGTACTCCGGGGATAGTCGGACGAAAATATCCGCCTGGAAGTTGCAGCCAACTTTCGAGCCGGAGCTTTCGTTTCTGAAAGGGCCCAAGCGGCGCAAGTTCCAAAGCTCCCAAAGTCGCAGCCAACGGGAGGAACCGAGCTTGGGAATTTTTAAAACTTAACCGACTCCGCGCGGGGGATGAAGACGCACGACGGCACGAGGAGACGTATTTCTATCAAACAAAACTATGCGCATTAAGACATGAGCCTTGAGACCCATAAGCTTACATGCATAACAGGGCTCACGTTATAATGCAGATAGTTCCGTTTGACAGAAATACGTCCGAATGGACGTCGTCGAGGGGAGGAAGCCGAAGCCTGTCTAGATTTCGGCGTAAACTTCGGTTTTAGTGAACTCTCATGAGACTCGCGGCTTTTGTTGAAGCATGGATGATCGCTCAACGCTGTCCATATGAAATTGCCGCGCTCGTGAGCTGTTGTGATAAGTATCAGTGTGTCTACTGGTCTGGAAGTAGTACGGATTTTTAAGGGTGCCTGGAAGTGCCGAAAAAGTCCGGAAATTCCGCGAGAAGGGCCGGAATTTTTTCCTTCCTATCGCGTGTTTTTTTTAATAAAGCCCGAAAAGTGCGTACAACCCTCTGAGCGTTGATTCTTAGAATAGTATTTGCCTGCGAGATCGCGATGGGACAGTCAGTTTATCTTCAAGCCACCATTGAAATTTTGTAGCCACGTCATTTTTGCCCCCATTCGAGCGAGAAATCCAAAATTTCGAAATTTTTTGAATGTCGTACTGAAAAAGTATTACATTTTTCTGTTGAGGAGGTACTGAATGTAATGGAAATGCACAGAAAAATTATTGATTTTTGACCAGACTGTTTTAGTAGACACCCTAGGTATTGAATATCGGAAACCAGATGAGTTGGTATTAAGACCAATTAGGTACTTTTCAAAAATTAGAGGTTGTTCTACAATTCGGAACCTTAAAATCCACAGGTAAATTGGGGTATCGTGTCACTCTGATGTCATAATGATATCCACTGTGTTTCATAAAGCAGCGTGGTGTCTGAATGGTCAGAAGACGTCAGAGTGATAACAGAGTGACATCAGAATAATTATTGTTCCTTAAATCATAGTGATGTCTCAATGACGAGGTCATTATGTTCCACTTCTATCAGGAAAAGTTGAACGGACGATGACGTAATCCGTATTTTTATGAGAAAGAAGCGATCTCCTGTATCGGTGAGATCTGATACTAAATGAGCACTGCTGAGCTAATACGTGTATTTTCCGAAGGAAACACATTATTTCATGTTAACTCCTGGATGCAACTATTCGGGCTCCATGGATGTCCGGGTTGCATATGCACGGAATTGAAGGCGTTTTGACTGTCCACCCAGGCACTCTCCACATCTCCTGCTGTGCGGCGTCAACGACGCGCTTTACTGCCATGATCCAAAGTGGCAGAGCGCTTTTAATTCTTCGTTTATACCCTAAAGATACCTCTTAGGCATGGCTAGTGGGTTGCATTCAGGCGTAGGATGTGGGTACTTTTGTGCTTCAGTTTTGATATTGCGATGTGCTGCGAATGATTTGTAAAGCAACTATTCACGCCTTAGAGATGTCTTCGAAGCACATATAAACGAAAAATTGAAGGCTTTCTTATCATTTTAGATCCTCGTAGTAAAGCCCGCTGCACAATGAAACGAGCTTTTCGAACAGGTTCGACATGAAATTTTTTATGTTAATTTCTTCCCATTGTAAATTGCATGGGATCTGCTTGAAGGAAATTTCACGAGAAAATCTGTGAAATCACTCATGTAACCTCAACGTTCCGTATTGACATCGATATGAGCTTTTAATTTTTCCACACTCCTCCCATCGACTCGCCCCGCTCATTATGAGGGCGGTTGGTGAGGCGGTTAGTGTCTGAAGTCAAAACGCCTTCTGTTTCGTGCGTATGCAATACGGACATCCTTGGAGCTCGAACAGTTGTATCCAGGCGTTAAATTGAAATTCGTTCAGTATCCGTCGCTTGCGACACTACATGAAGATTTGATCGTTTGTCTGACACCTTAACTTAATTCCAGCGTTGCCTGTTGTGCCGATGAAGTAAACCATGACTGATTTCTATCGCGACATTGTCAAATTTCCGGTCAATATATTACTTAAATGTATTACGACGTTGCCGGCTCTGAAATCGCAAAAATTAGGTCTCTGAACATGATATTGTAGAGTTTTCCTTAAACTACTTCAATGGGTTGTCCTTTGGTCCTTTATTTCTTTCCTTTAGGAAATTAATTGTGACGCTCAAGCGCGAAATTAATTTTATAAGAACAATCCTGATGAATTGCACGGAATGTGGAACGAAAG